AAATGAATTTCTTGCACGGATTTCAAAATAGTCAATGTGGGTGAGTTTACAATGTTATTTACCAGTTTTTACATGTTGAAGCGGTATACAAGACACATTTTCATCATCAGACAGATATCAGTGAATGAAACTCTAAATGTGTTAGAAATGAAATGAAGTGGGCTTTGCTGAACCAGATGACAACATAGTGTATACATTTCTGAATGCAAACAGTTATCAACATCTACCAAATCCACACGTCAATACTCATCGTTGAACATTCAACTTTGTTTCATTCAGTTCCGAGTTGTTGTCGTGAAAAGTGAATGACATGGTATGAACGAGTCCTCATTCTCATGAATATGTACATTGAGTAATCACAAAGAATTTTCATTTCACCGACAGCCTTGCTAGTGTCACATAAACCATTGTCGTTGTTTTGATGAAATCGTATTGGTGTTGTTTCTGTTTTATATGCTGAATTCTGTAAAAAATGAATTTCACGATTCACGTCTGCTGACTTACGCCTAACCTGGTATACTGGGTAATATAACTATGGTGTGTGAATATCTTCATCATGGATATTCAGAGAATTTGTTCCCATTTTTTAACAGTCGCTCGTTAAACAAAATCTCAGTTATTTTCTTCTGTAAAATTTATTTCACAAGATAAGAAAGTAACTGAAATATATGTTCCTAAAATACAGATCCGAATTGGAACACTACCGTTTATTGATATTTCAACGTGGATGATGTGTTTTCACATCTTGAGGCGAAATTGTAGCATCCATTCGAATAATAAATGACAGAGAAGTTTTTCTGAAAATGTTCTAATCATCTTACTTTGTAGAGAAACGAATCACTGTAATGCTCGTTAGCAAAATACCGTAATGTCATATTTGTCATTAACGAAACTTTCAACTTTAAATCAACATCAACTAAACTCGTTGTAGATCGGTATTATCGCCATTCTCATTACACGTACTTTATCTTACAAACATTTTAAAATAGAATGCAACATTTGTGACAGTAATAAGCCCTAATATGTTACGTACGACTGATATTATGGTGTGTTTTCGTAAGGTTGTTCTATGTTACAACATTGTATTATTTATAATTGTCGTGATTTCTGTCTTCTTCTTCCACTCTTTCAGATCCACTTTAATTTATTCGTTTATGACTTATTATTTATCAACATTTCTTCAAAGAATACTATGTTAAACCCTCTTCAAACGTCATCTGTAAGTTCTCCCGTTTTTTTAAAACGTATAGCAAAAGGGATCTAAAATGTAAATCTCTTTTGTAGATTTTAAATTAGTTAACTGGAAAATGATCCATTTGTCTGTCGGTGACTTTTGCATCAGTTGGCTAATTTCCGTGATACAGTCAATCGTTACATATCTGCACTCAAACAACAGGTGCATAATTCTTCATAAATTTAAGGTAGGAATAAGCGTCGTGTTTTCTTGAAGTGATGAAAGATGAAATTGTAAAGAACTTAGATTTACCAGTTGATTACCGACGAAATGGGCACACAAACGTTATGAGAGGTAATCACTGGTTCCGTTTCTATGAATTTGGTGGTAGTTATAAAACAATAGGATCCAGACAAATCTCTGTCAACAGAGTTTTCCCAGCTCAAATGCACGCCTTAAATATATTTTTCGACGTAAAACGGCCACCACAGGTCCATCAGCTAATGCAAAGCCGTGAAGATCGGAAACAAAAGTTCTAAGAGTATCACAACAGGAATCCTAAAGACTATTGAAGCTAAGGAATCCAAAGAGTTCTAAAAGCCTTTAAGTGACTTTATTGCAAATTATCATGTAAAAGAACGTAAGAATCAGGCTTTGTGGAGATCGTTGAGCTTTTAACGAGCAAACAATAGGTGACAGATACCTATGGTGCTTCAGTTGCATGATATCCTTGCCGACATTGATAGATTTATTTTTGGCAAGAAGTCTTCGCAATCTCCAAGGTACAAGATAACTTCTGAAGGTGTCGTGTCAGTTCTGGTGGTGGTCACCGCTATACGTGACTATCCGCTAGCTGATTCATGAAACAATTCGCGGCGATTTATTGGCTTATAAATTTTTATGTACGATTTAACCCTAACTGTGCAACAACATGACAGCCACTGTCGAATGCCTTTGGCGGACATTTTTTGACATTTCATCTTTCAGTTGAAATTAAAAGAGGATCAGGGGACGCTGACCAAGCGCTGGACTAAAAGATGGTGCTAGTTTGGCGAAGGACGGGAATGCAATCATACATCAAGACTGACACATCAAACGTGGCAGTAGGAGATATGTTGTAACAGTTGTTAAACGAAACGTTGGAACCCCATTCACATTTCTCAAAGTGATTAAACGTTATTTAGACTATGAATATCATGTTCTGAAGAGAGTGGCTAGCAATCGCTTAGCAGCAAAATTCAGTTCTTTTTTTAATTGTGCTGTTGGGAATGAATCTATTGGATATTCTAATCTTTTCACTACCCATCCGCCGTGCGTTTTCAGTACTACTCTCTAGATCTCCACAATAGCCGTGAATCAACTTGGAGTTGTCACAGACGATCGTTGAGAATAGATGCTGCAGTAACAAAAGTGTGTTTGAAGACAAATCACATCTGACATTGAGTACATCTTATTGGGAACGTCATGTAGTGTGCAAATGTGTCCCTCATTCGTCAGCAGCAACCACTATTGAAAGGTTATAGTTTAACGAATCGTTCAGCCGTCACATAGCAAGATATTAAATAAAAGCATCAATAATGAAATTCTTGTACATAACAAAATAATACCGATTTCGTGGAGGCGACACTCACAATTATGAAACCGCAACGGGTGGAAAGAGACAATTTGTACCGAGACATGTCATGAGGAACGATGTGTCATAAAGCAAACGATCACCAGAAAACGTGATATCTTAAACAAGAAATTTGTGTAGACTGAGAAAAGACTAATAAAAGCTTTGTTTGAGACTACCCATAAGTGAGTTTGAATGCTTCAAGGTTGCTTTATTTGGTTTGCGCTGTTTTTTTCGGAGAGAATGCATATGATTTAATAAAAAATATTGCAGCCATTCTGGAGCACATTAGAAGTGTTTACGTTCTTTATTTCCACACCTTTTTATAAATTCTGTTTCGCGCTTATTGATTTGAATTTATGAAGACTGGAAGCATGAAGCAGGTCGTTACAATCGATGAGCATCCGTTGTGAATCCGGTCTACATCCCGGATAAAATAAAAGGATTTAACACGTGGTCACCAACTCCATCTTCTCGAAACAAACTGTGTTTCGAAATATCATTTAAACCAAACGTTTTCAGTCCTGTGACTTATACAACGTCTTCATTTGGAAGAATTATGACTCCTCATGGTGAAAGTAGAGATTCTTCGGAAGTCACGGTGATTATGTCGTAGATTGTGTTGAAATGAGAAGGTAAAACACGTCAGTTCTCGGAATAAGTAAAACCCATCGGATACAAGTTGTGCAGGAAAAAATTGGATTCGAGAAATATACTGTTTTACTGTAGTTATGCGTGAAAAGTAAACAATAAGTTCAGCTCTTTTAATAATGACACTTGTGTGTAATAAACTTTGCATTCATCAATACCAATTATCTCTTACTTAGATAAAAGTGAACATTTCAATTCTGAACTAGGCGTAATAATCGCTATACTCTTTTTTGCTGAACATGAACTCTGTCTTTACTCAATACCATTCAGTTGATATTGACTAAAGTTTTTCTCAACCTTGAAGCGTTTGCGAATGTTATTCATATGAAAAACATTAGGTTGCGTGACACTAACGCAGAATAGCCTTATGAAAAACGAACAATAAATAAGCTACATAATACTGAATAAATTTTATTAGCCTTGAAATATTTATTTAACATTTTCATATGAAAAACATTATGTTTCCATTGAAATTAATGTAGAATTGTCTTATGAGAAATTGAAAGTGATTTTATAGGATTAGCTCACTATTCCAATAACTATTGCTTCCTGTGGATACAATGAACTGAACCAACATACAAGTATACTTTTATCAAACCCTAGTAAATAAGCTACATAATTGCCTGAACATACTGTAACTATATGTAATTATAACGAATAATATTAATTTGATAATGAGCCAGACATTAGTGGGAAAATTTTATGTATAATTGAAAGCAATTCTGATGTTCATGATTTCGCAAAATTACCGAACAACCGTTTATTCGACTACAGAATATGATACTCGTGGAAGCAATATTTTGGTTACTGTCGACATCTTTTTGCAGCGCAAAATTCACCATCACACTGCCAAGAATTACATTTTGCAATTATAACCAAATCATGAGTAGTTTGGGCTTCTGCCGCTGAAATTATCATTCATTTACGAAAGTGTAGACTGTTAATCATTCAACAGTAATTGACTCATTACGTTTAGTTTGAACACATACAGGTCCACTTCTACCTGACTAATAAGAAACGTTTTGTCTATTTTGATCGCTAAATCTATTTAGAGCCAACGGTACAATGTGCCGGTCAAATGGGCTTTTTTGTGACTGTTCGGAAGTTACAATCCCACATTCAACGACGATGCAGTTGTATGACAGGATTTATGTCATTAAACATAGATTCAGATGTAAAAATGCAAATTCAGATGTCTAATCAAGACAGGTTTTGTTACTTGGATTTTAACCTATCAAACCAAAGCAATGCACCATTGGTAGACAGTTCACAAATAATTACAAGTAACAAAATATTTGTTCGTGAAAATATGAGCACACATTTTGACCTACATTAAAAACCCTTCACTTCGTTTAAACTATCGCTAGTCGTATCCAATATTATTTTCACCAATAGAGGCCTTGGAATTTCAACCAATGGTGGCTAAGTTTCAGCCTTTAGAGTACAACAGCTAGAAGTATATTGCACTACGATGAGTTCGTCTTCTACCATAAGTGGTTAAAAATGGTCATATGATTTTATGAAACGTGATGTTTCTAATGGTCACTTTGAATCGTCGAATAAGAAAGAAACAAATAAACACTTAAAAAACTTATATAAATACTACAAGGTCTAACAACAATTAATACCGTTGGGAACAAGAAGATGAGGTGAGTGTTGACTATACAGTTTAAGCAAATGAGTGTGTTTTATGAACTTCAATTTGTTTCAATGAAATAAGGCTGTATATTTTTATCTGTACCATTCCAGGCATAGCTTTGCAACTGGCCAGTTTATACTGCTCTATTCCATCATCGTATTAATTTTTAAATTCTTCGACTGCCATGACATTTGCACAAAACCTGAATTGAGGAAATATGAAAAAGTAATTTTTGAAAGTGATGCATATAGTTATGTAAGTAATCAGTCCGGTTCCAATACAAATATTCAGTCTCACCACTATTATTATTCCCGGATGATCCGCTCTGATCAGTCTCCTCCAATTGTTAGCGGCACGTTTGAAAGACTGGTTGATACTAAAGTGAGTTGACTAAATTTTGCAACGATGTTTCATTCCATATGTTTGCTTATAATCAGGATATCGATGCGAAGTTCCCGTTTACGTTTTACGGTTCTCAAGTCGTCAAATTCAGAATATTAACTACTGGTAAGAGAATGATTTTCATCGAACTAAAATTGTTACCGAGTTTTGTTTATTCACATTTCATTCCGTGTACCAATGTTGATTTAATTTCTTCAGTAAATCAGTTTTTTGCCCTTTGTAGCATTCAGAACATCTACTGATATCTTATTTCGTTCAAGTTGTAAACAGTTTAAAGGCTTACAGAAATTTAATTACGGTCCATGAAACTCATTTTGTCTCCGGTTAATCTAAAAGTCTTTAATTCATTCTCTACAGAATGTCATTTGAATTTCATGTTTTTCATTCGATAAACACAGGTAGAATTGAAATGTACGATAAAGCGTACTCAGGAGTAGTTAGAAATTATGTGAGAAGCGGTTATTATGTGAAAACTGATATTTCGGATAGGCGTGAGTACCTCTATTATCCTGTGATAATTTGTTTTGCCTTTCGTTTCTAACTTTTATTTTGCATAAATGATTGAGTATTTGACCTGGTTATTTTTTGAAAGCTGACCAGTAGACAGTGATTAATTTGCTTGTGTGATTTGATGCTGTAAAATGTGTTCACAACACGTATTCATTACTGTCAAGTGAAAACGATGGTTCACTTCGAAATAAACGCGAATTGATTGAGTAGAAATGATAAATCAAACGAATTCCACTGAACACATCTACAACAATAAACGATGTTGTGTGAGAGATCATTTTCGATTAATAAACCACATGGATTACCAAATTGTATTTGATGACGTCCAAATGTTTTCTTTAAATTATTTAATAAAGAATTAATTTATCTTAATCACTATCTGTGAACCACTGTGTATTCATCACATTATTGACTATCATATTCCTATGGATCTAAAATAGCAATTAAGAATAATAATAATAACAGATGATAAAAAATTACCATAAACAGTGCACCGGTATAACATGATTGATTCGACCCGGAACAACTAGAACATCAAAATGAAGTTCACTCATTTCGTTCAGTTATTGCATTTAGTGACATTGAAGTAGAATTTCTGAGTAATAATTAGTTAAATTGAGGGAACACTGTTGGATTGGAAAAACGGAATCTCAGAAAATGATTTTGTATGTGTATTGTCGTTTAATCTGAAGGGAAGTACGGGATACAATGGACATTTAGGATGCAGTTGGACGATCTAGACTTCGCAGATGATCTGGCCCTTCTATCCCAAACGCAACAACAAATGCAGGAGAAAACGACCAGTATAGCAGCAGCCTCAGCAGCAGCAGGTCTCAATATACACAAAGGGAAAAGCAAGATTCTCCGATACAACACAGCATGCACCAATCCAGTCACAATTGACGGAGAAGATATGGAAGATGTAAAAACCTTTACATATTTGGGCAGCATCATTGATGAACATGGTGAATCTGATGCAGATGTGAAGGCGCGGATCGGTAAAGCAAGAACAGCATATTTACAACTGAGGAACATCTGGAACTCAAAGCAACTGTCAACCAACATTAAAGTCAGGATTTTCAATACAAATGTCAAGACAGTTCTACTGTATGGGGCAGAAACCTGGAGAGCTACGAAATCCATCATCCAGAAGATACAGGTGTTTATTAACAGCTGTCTACGCAAACTACTTCAGATCCGTTGGCCGGACACTATTAGCAACAAGCTACTGTGGGAGGGAACAAACCAGGTTTCAGCGGAGGAAGAAATCAAGAAGAAACACTGGAAGTGTATAGGGCACACATTGAGGAAAGCACCCAAATGTGTCACAAGGTAAGCCTTCACATGGAATCCTCAAAGCGAAAGGAGGAGAGGAAGACCGAAGAACACATGACGCCGGGAAATGGAAATAGACATGAGAAAAATGAACAAGAATTGGATGGAACTAGAAAAGAAGGCCAAGGACAGAGTGGGTTGGAGAATGCTGGTCGGCGGCCTATGCTCCACTGGGAGTAACAGGTGTAAGTAAGTAAGTAAGTAATTGTCGTTTAGATATTACCGGTCTATTAGGTTTTCTGAAGCTTTTAAAATCAACGCTTCGGAAGTAAAATGTTCTTCTCAGTTGGTTGTATTGAAACATTCATCATATCGTTGAAATAATTATGAGTCTCCTTGCAACTCCTATTAAAATGAACCAGTTTACTTAAATCTTGAAAGAAAGATGATAACTAATGTCTAAACTGATTCTCTGTCGATATTAATTATACATATATAAAACCGCAAATATTTTTACTTCCGTCATTTCAGGGGAATTATTAGCCGTCAGAATGTCTTATTATCCAGATGCTGGTGGTGAAAGTAAGTATCCATAAAATGATTATTTGATTACACATGAAATATTTAAAACACCTACACCATCACTCGCAGTACTTATTTACACATTTTTTGTTCATTTTACATCACTGAATTCTTTTCAAAAATTGATAAAAGCAATAAAGTGTAGCTATCACAGAAAATTAGGAAGGGGGAAACCATCGATTGTTTGAACACATTGATGGAGACCTGAAGGACAATTGACATAATCAGGAGCAAACTAGATCAGACGTGCAATAAATAGATCCGTATGAATAAATTAGGTCATAAACACATTTTACTTGTGGATAAACGAATGTAGAGATACATCTTCGTCAACAGGCTTCAATGCTGCTTGATCAGAAGTCTGTATTCTGAAATAAGTAAATTTGTGTTACTCACCACACGGTCATTCCTAAAAAGTATTCATTCAAATTAAGAAATCACCAAGACGAAAAACCTGAAGCTATTCATTTTCCGTCGTTACCGAACACTGATAAACCAATGACTTGCATAACCGACTAAGTTACCATGTTCTATTTGTAAACAAACAAACCATAGCTAATGTCATGTGTACTTAGGGGTGTTTTTTCAGGTGTAATTATAGAGAGTGTTGAACAAATGTCAATAGCTCCTCAACTATCAGATTTAATTGGAAGCTTGATGATTTATTATTTCGATATGGAAACGGCGTTGTAATACAGCCTCGGAGCCTAGTTATCTGACATTTGTATTGAAGAATGCATGCTTGCTTCACTTACACGACGTTCACCAGATTATATTTATTACGAATTCTACCAAAGAAAACATTTGAGATAACAGAGAAAATACCTGCCTAAAACTGATCACTTTGCACGTAGGCACATACACTTTCGCATCCAACAATGACATGCTAATCCCTAATACCTTAAATTTTAAATAACGATAGTCTTCTGCTTGTAGTCCCTGCATTCACTATAACTACTCTGATACATCCGAATGGGAAGATATCAATCTATTATGCGAACGTAAGTTGCAAAATTGAATAGTAATGCAGTATTGTTTGATGTATTTCAGATTGTTATCTTACTCTGCGCAAGTCAACACTGTCGAATTCATCAAGATACATTGAACAAGATAGAAGGATATCAACAATTTTTAACGTGCACACAGACTATACGACTCCGTGCTGACACACTTTATTCTAGCACTTTTTGCAAACAATGAATTATAGGAAGTCAAATGTTATCGATAGAAATTCTGACATATTCGAGCCGATTAAGGATAAACAGTGTATTTTATAGTACTTTCCAACACAGTCATTTTCTGTCAAGCTTGACTACGTCTTTTGAAGTTCAGCTAATTGAAAATTTCATTGCCAAATAATCTGCGAGATAAATTGTTAAAGTCTTGATCGTCTCTTAGTGAGTACGTGTTCGAATGTCAGCATTTAGTACTTCACCAATTTGAAATACAACAGATGTGTGGTAACTAGAAAGCGCAAGTGAGATGAAAGATTTCATTTGTGTTGAACTGAATCCACTTTGATTGCTTCGACGTTATCAGGAATTGTATGTAGCAGCATTGCAGTTATTCACTATCACATTTCCGTCAAGTGACGTAGATATTCATCTCACACTGTAGCGCATCATTGCACGATAGATAGATCGGCCATTGGATTTCAGTGAAGTTGACAACCGAAGTGAGTCGGATTATCTTCGTAGACTAGATGAGGCACACTCCTGAGGAAAGTGAGGAAATCAGTTTGCTTACTGTGTAACTAGTTGTCTTTGTGTAAAGTGATGTGAATGACGACACCGTCCTTCAGTGATTGGTTGGTTTTGATAAACGTGGTTGTGTGTTGACAAGTCTTTACTCAGACTTCCGTTACTTCTTTTCAGATTCCTAGGGTAGCTAGCAGAATCGAAAGGCCATCGGGAATTTATAAATGGTTAAATTGCGGAGAAACAGGTATTAAATGTTTTTTACATTTTGATTAACACCAACCTACACAAGCAGTCATTTGTGAGCCTAATATTAACTTCTTTATGTACCCTTTGATCACCACGCCAATACAGAACTTTGCTGTATTCTGTCCTAGTGATCTAATATATCTCTCTTACAGTCTACATTATTCAGTAGTTTCGTGTGAGAACAGATTGGTCGAAGTGTCATTAAAGTGTTGATGAAAAACGTGTGAAATAAAATCTGAATGCTTCTGGTAAACTCACTGTTCAAACACTACTGTTTATTGAAAATTCAACGAGGATGATGTGTTTTCACATCTTGAAGCGAAGTTTGATATCATATGTGATACTAAATCAAGGTTGAAACTAGTGCTGACAAAACCGCGTGTTTTGACCAAGTCTTTTGAACAGTGAACTACTGAATTCTTCTGAATTGAAATCGAGTATCTATGTCTTCATTTGAACAACCGACAGCCTTGCTAGTGTCACATAAACCAATGTCATTGTTTTGATGAAATCGTATTGGTGTTGTTTCTGTTTTATATGCTGAATTCTGTAAAAAATGAATTTCACGATTCACGTCTGCTGACTTACGCCTAACCTGGTATACTGGGTAATATAACTATGGTGTGTGAATATCTTCATCATGGATATTCAGAGAATTTGTTCCCATTTTTTAACAGTCGCTCGTTAAACAAAATCTCAGTTATTTTCTTCTGTAAAATTTATTTCACAAGATAAGAAAGTAACTGAAATATATGTTCCTAAAATGCGGATCCGAAGTGCAACGTTAGTGGAGTATGAAGCTCTCGGGGGTATGTTAAACCTTATTGTATCAGAAATGATTATTTTCACAGTTGAATACATCAATTTTGTTTCAAAAAATTGAAAATTTCATGTGCAATTTCAACAACTAACTAAATGAAATTTGGCTACTAGTATCAAATCACGCTAACCTATACGTGGATTCTCTGTTGATTATTTAAAATGATGAAGGACGGATGTCCTTCACGTCCTCACGTCGATAAAATTCACTTAAGCGTACATAATGTCACAAAACTATGGATGAGATAATATATGTCAGTTAGCTGATTGTGCATTGACTTGGAAGTGTCCATAGTTTTCCAAATTGTTAGGTATGATATTGAACTTTCCTGAGTTATTAAAATCGCGGAAACATTTCTTGAAATCATAATTAACTTGGAAACAATCGCTTACTTTCCAAAATCTATATTTCATCTTGTTCATCCGATGAGTTGGACGTGTAGACAAGTCAGGTGTTCAGATTTCGATATACCATAGGCAGTAGATACTTGTACAGTATCAAAAATACTGAGGATTTTCATGTTAGGTAAGTGTTTCCTTTCTCATTGATATGTATAGTGAGTAATCATAAACACTCTTCAGTTCGTCTTGTGTTGGAGTATTGAAATAACATCGCTATGACTGAGAAAACCATTCCATAATCTAATGTTCAGATTGACTCCACTATTCGTTGAATAAAATTTAATTTACTATCGATGAATGTTCATGATCCAACTAGTGTGACATGCTAGCCGACAGCACACAGAGTATAATGTGATCACATAGTTTCAAACATTCCATAACGATAGGTCGACTGAAATCTCTCCCCGAAAAACGTCAGCGATGAATTGAAAAACAATGTCACTCCTTTGTTTTTCGACCGAATTAACATAATTATAAGTGAATTTATTGTCTGGGGACAAATGAATTTCTTGCACGGATTTCAAAATAGTCAATGTGGGTGAGTTTACAATGTTATTTACCAGTTTTTACATGTTGAAGCGGTATACAAGACACATTTTCATCATCAGACTAATATCAGTGAATGAAACTCTAAATGTGTTAGAAATGAAATGCAGTGGGCTTTGCTGAACCAGATGACAGCATAGTGTATACATTTCTGAATGCGAACAGTTATCAACATCTACCAAATCCACACGTCAATACTCATCGTTGAACATTCAACTTTGTTTCATTCAGTTCCGAGTTGTTGTCGTGAAAAGTGAATGACATGGTATGAACGAGTCCTCATTCTCATGAATATGTACATTGAGTAATCACAAAGAATTTTGATTTTATCATGTGATAGGGTATTAAAATAGCATCTCGACAACTAAGAGAATCATTCCATAATGTTATGTTTAGATCGACTTTAATATTCATTGAATAAAATGTTACTGATTATGTATGTATTTTCATTCAATGCCAAAATGTTGTCGTGAAATATGGATGTCAAAGGAATTGTGCTGAATTTTGAATTGCGCGAGGTGACGACAAATTGTTAGTGAATGAAACAGTCGCCTAATTTCGAAATCATCTTATCATATCATTGAGTTATAGTTATATTTCTCCTAATTCACTTATCCTTTGTTTAATAACTTGTTATGCAATCACCCTATTTTTTCCACTGAAGATTGTCCGAAATACGATTCGACTGAAGCATGTCATGGATCAACACCACCGAAAACAAGGTGTATATGGTGTGAAACAGCCAATATGTGCATTACCAGAAGTGATGAGGATACTTATGAATTCAAAGTAAATGGTTGCAAGAATAAAGTAAGTGATTGATAGACTTCACACATTGTTTTCAATATTACCATATTCTACATTGTGAATCTGTTTACTCGGAAGAACATTTTTTTTGCAAACGAGTAGTGTATTTTATACATTCATGATGTTTAATCAGATATGAGTACGATGCTATGTTTCCATGTAGACATTCAACAACCAATAGAAGCGTCGTTTAACACTTGTACTTGAAAAAATGGTATTTCTCCTGCTCATAGAATGTGTAGTTATTCTCGATGTCCAATATGAAACCGTCTGTAAGTGTGGATTCTTACAAAATGCCGATGAGATCAGTTTGAATGATGAAGCATAATCTGTCAAAACTTCTGCATCATGTTTGGAAAGAGAAAGTTCGTGGACTCACATTGTTGAATGTGAGAACAAATATTCCTGATACCCTGTTGAGAAATTTGTGTTTCGGACGGATTTTTTCAATAAAGACGTTAGTTAATGCTTTGTTACTAATTATTTACAATGTGATAAGCTGAAACATCTGCTGAACTAATTTCATCAAACAAAATAGTTGTCGGTTAGACGTAGGATAATGTATACTAATCAAATCGACCGTCAAATCAGTAGGAGATATCATAATTCATTATTCATACACCTAGCAAACAAAGAAACTGATCGAATAAATGAATTGAAGAAGACTAGTGGAAGCACTGAATCACATTTGGTAAATATTTGATATTTTCTAATCATTATACTATTTCGTTGATTTCAGAACATCGATACAGATACAACAACTCTAGCAACTATTGAAACTGATCGAATAAATGAATTGAAGAAGACTAGTGGAAGCACTGAATCACATTTGGTAAATATTTGATATTTTCTAATCATTATACTATTTCGTTGATTTCAGAACATCGATACAGATACAACAACTCTAGCAACTATTGAAACTGATCGAATAAATGAATTGAAGAAGACTAGTGGAAGCACTGAATCACATTTGGTAAATATTTGATATTTTCTAATCATTATACTATTTCGTTGATTTCAGAACATCGATACAGATACAACAACTCTAGCAACTATTGAAACTGATCGAATAAATGAATTGAAGAAGACTAGTGGAAGCACTGAATCACATTTGGTAAATATTTGATATTTTCTAATCATTATACTATTTCGTTGATTTCAGAACATCGATACAGATACAACAACTCTAGCAACTATTGAAACTGATCGAATAAATGAATTGAAGAAGACTAGTGGAAGCACTGAATCACATTTGGTAAATATTTGATATTTTCTAATCATTATACTATTTCGTTGATTTCAGAACATCGATACAGATACAACAACTCTAGCAACTATTGAAACTGATCGAATAAATGAATTGAAGAAGACTAGTGGAAGCACTGAATCACATTTGGTAAATATTTGATATTTTCTAATCATTATACTATTTCGTTGATTTCAGAACATCGATACAGATACAACAACTCTAGCAACTATTGAAACTGATCGAATAAATGAATTGAAGAAGACTAGTGGAAGCACTGAATCACATTTGGTAAATATTTGATATTTTCTAATCATTATACTATTTCGTTGATTTCAGAACATCGATACAGATACAACAACTCTAGCAACTATTGAAACTGATCGAATAAATGAATTGAAGAAGACTAGTGGAAGCACTGAATCACATTTGGTAAATATTTGATATTTTCTAATCATTATACTATTTCGTTGATTTCAGAACATCGATACAGATACAACAACTCTAGCAACTATTGAAACTGATCGAATAAATGAATTGAAGAAGACTAGTGGAAGCACTGAATCACATTTGGTAAATATTTGATATTTTCTAATCATTATACTATTTCGTTGATTTCAGAACATCGATACAGATACAACAACTCTAGCAACTATTGAAACTGATCGAATAAATGAATTGAAGAAGACTAGTGGAAGCACTGAATCACATTTGGTAAATATTTGATATTTTCTAATCATTATACTATTTCGTTGATTTCAGAACATCGATACAGATACAACAACTCTAGCAACTATTGAAACTGATCGAATAAATGAATTGAAGAAGACTAGTGGAAGCACTGAATCACATTTGGTAAATATTTGATATTTTCTAATCATTATACTATTTCGTTGATTTCAGAACATCGATACAGATACAACAACTCTAGCAACTATTGAAACTGATCGAATAAATGAATTGAAGAAGACTAGTGGAAGCACTGAATCACATTTGGTAAATATTTGATATTTTCTAATCATTATACTATTTCGTTGATTTCAGAACATCGATACAGATACAACAACTCTAGCAACTATTGAAACTGATCGAATAAATGAATTGAAGAGACTAGTGGAAGCACTGAATCACATTTGGTAAATATTTGATATTTTCTAATCATTATACTATTTCGTTGATTTCAGAACATCGATACAGATACAACAACTCTAGCAACTATTGAAACTGATCGAATAAATGAATTGAAGAAGACTAGTGGAAGCACTGAATCACATTTGGTAAATATTTGATATTTTCTAATCATTATACTATTTCGTTGATTTCAGAACATCGATACAGATACAACAACTCTAGCAACTATTGAAACTGATCGAATAAATGAATTGAAGAAGACTAGTGGAAGCACTGAATCACATTTGGTAAATATTTGATATTTTCTAATCATTATACTATTTCGTTGATTTCAGAACATCGATACAGATACAACAACTCTAGCAACTATTGAAACTGATCGAATAAATGAATTGAAGAAGACTAGTGGAAGCACTGAATCACATTTGGTAAATATTTGATATTTTCTAATCATTATACTATTTCGTTGATTTCAGAACATCGATACAGATACAACAACTCTAGCAACTATTGAAACTGATCGAATAAATGAATTGAAGAAGACTAGTGGAAGCACTGAATCACATTTGGTAAATATTTGATATTTTCTAATCATTATACTATTTCGTTGATTTCAGAACATCGATACAGATACAACAACTCTAGCAACTATTGAAACTGATCGAATAAATGAATTGAAGAAGACTAGTGGAAGCACTGAATCACATTTGGTAAATATTTGATATTTTCTAATCATTATACTATTTCGTTGATTTCAGAACATCGATACAGATACAACAACTCTAGCAACTATTGAAACTGATCGAATAAATGAATTGAAGAAGACTAGTGGAAGCACTGAATCACATTTGGTAAATATTTGATATTTTCTAATCATTATACTATTTCGTTGATTTCAGAACATCGATACAGATACAACAACTCTAGCAACTATTGAAACTGATCGAATAAATGAATTGAAGAAGACTAGTGGAAGCACTGAATCACATTTGGTAAATATTTGATATTTTCTAATCATTATACTATTTCGTTGATTTCAGAACATCGATACAGATACAACAACTCTAGCAACTATTGAAACTGATCGAATAAATGAATTGAAGAAGACTAGTGGAAGCACTGAATCACATTTGGTAAATATTTGATATTTTCTAATCATTATACTATTTCGTTGATTTCAGAACATCGATACAGATACAACAACTCTAGCAACTATTGAAACTGATCGAATAAATGAATTGAAGAAGACTAGTGGAAGCACTGAATCACATTTGGTAAATATTTGATATTTTCTAATCATTATACTATTTCGTTGATTTCAGAACATCGATACAGATACAACAACTCTAGCAACTATTGAAACTGATCGAATAAATGAATTGAAGAAGACTAGTGGAAGCACTGAATCACATTTGGTAAATATTTGATATTTTCTAATCATTATACTATTTCGTTGATTTCAGAACATCGATACAGATACAACAACTCTAGCAACTATTGAAACTGATCGAATAAATGAATTGAAGAAGACTAGTGGAAGCACTGAATCACATTTGGTAAATATTTGATATTTTCTAATCATTATACTATTTCGTTGATTTCAGAACATCGATACAGATACAACAACTCTAGCAACTATTGAAACTGATCGAATAAATGAATTGAAGAAGACTAGTGGAAGCACTGAATCACATTTGGTAAATATTTGATATTTTCTAATCATTATACTATTTCGTTGATTTCAGAACATCGATACAGATACAACAACTCTAGCAACTATTGAAACTGATCGAATAAATGAATTGAAGAAGACTAGTGGAAGCACTGAATCACATTTGGTAAATATTTGATATTTTCTAATCATTATACTATTTCGTTGATTTCAGAACATCGATACAGATACAACAACTCTAGCAACTATTGAAACTGATCGAATAAATGAATTGAAGAAGACTAGTGGAAGCACTGAATCACATTTGGTAAATATTTGATATTTTCTAATCATTATACTATTTCGTTGATTTCAGAACATCGATACAGATACAACAACTCTAGCAACTATTGAAACTGATCGAATAAATGAATTGAAGAAGACTAGTGGAAGCACTGAATCACATTTGGTAAATATTTGATATTTTCTAATCATTATACTATTTCGTTGATTTCAGAACATCGATACAGATACAACAACTCTAGCAACTATTGAAACTGATCGAATAAATGAATTGAAGAAGACTAGTGGAAGCACTGAATCACATTTGGTAAATATTTGATATTTTCTAATCATTATACTATTTCGTTGATTTCAGAACATCGATACAGATACAACAACTCTAGCAACTATTGAAACTGATCGAATAAATGAATTGAAGAAGACTAGTGGAAGCACTGAATCACATTTGGTAAATATTTGATATTTTCTAATCATTATACTATTTCGTTGATTTCAGAACATCGATACAGATACAACAACTCTAGCAACTATTGAAACTGATCGAATAAATGAATTGAAGAAGACTAGTGGAAGCACTGAATCACATTTGGTAAATATTTGATATTTTCTAATCATTATACTATTTCGTTGATTTCAGAACATCGATACAGATACAACAACTCTAGCAACTATTGAAACTGATCGAATAAATGAATTGAAGAAGACTAGTGGAAGCACTGAATCACATTTGGTAAATATTTGATATTTTCTAATCATTATACTATTTCGTTGATTTCAGAACATCGATACAGATACAACAACTCTAGCAACTATTGAAACTGATCGAATAAATGAATTGAAGAAGACTAGTGGAAGCACTGAATCACATTTGGTAAATATTTGATATTTTCTAATCATTATACTATTTCGTTGATTTCAGAACATCGATACAGATACAACA